GAGCTTTCAGCTGAGTTCAGTGTCTGCAGCTGAAATCAGTGGATGCAGCAGATACTCAAATCCTGTGGAGTTTTACATCTACGTATTCAAACGGGACAGTCAGACACCGAGCTGCCTTCGGAGCTAGTGGGCAAGTTTGAAAAGCCTGGCCCATGGTAAGTGTAGACAGAGACAACAGTTGTTTCACTGGTTCTGGGAATCTTTTTCCTGGGTTTGGTGCTATCTGGTTTAGACTAGAGGAGAAAACGTGAGAATCCAAACACCCAGCTTCGCTGTGGAGGCTGCACGCATTTAGCTTTTTAATTCTTAAGAAGACAGTAAAGCATTTCTGCCAACCCTGTTACTACAGATATCTGTCATTAATTAAACACTGAAGCAAACATGAAATCCACAATAAAGTGAATTCTAAGGATGGGATTTAAAAGGGCTCTGTGTTTGGTCTAACCTGTTCCAAACAACATAACCCAGTTTTGAGTTTGGCAGATGTAAATTACTTTTACAATATCCCATAGAAGGTATCAGGCAATAGTTTAAAAATACCCTATGTGTGGGCCTCCTGCATGCGCTCTGTAAACACGTACTCAAGTAGCTCTGCTGCATGCTCTGTGTTCATATTGCACTGTGGTTATTTGTTAATGTAGTTCCATGCAATATTGTTGTGTGAGGTTTTGTGTCACTTGAACCTCCTCCTCCTCTATTTTTACAAGTGCTGTGATTTATCAGATCATAAGAAAATACCATTAGATACAGATACATATATGCGTTTACCTAAAGGTCAAATCAGTTCTTCAAACTGACATAAACGTGTCTATGGCAACAAGGTTTCTAGAGTCATTACAGCTGAAAGAGATCAGCAAGATGAGTCTCTTGCTTTCCTCTCTCCATAAATAATCCCTTTGATTTCAGTGCCTGTTCTGTATGTGCAGTGGTATCAGGCCAGCCCTTGTGCGGTAACGGGATGCAGGCGCACAAGCTGATGATGCAAAGTGCTGAGCACTCCTGTGCAGACCAGACTTTCGGTGTTCAGCAGCTTGATGGATCAGACTTACAGGTCGTATGTATTCTTAAAGCTTTGCAGAGGAGAGGGAGAGTCACAAGCTGGGGTTAGGAAAGCATTTTTTAATTGCATGAAATAGAAAATAGAAGAAAGACTGAAAAACTTGAATCAGTTACCTGGCAGTGATAAATCACCTCTGGAGAAAGAGAGGAGTAACAAGAGGGTGAAACAGGGGTGGGAGATGATGATAAACTGTTGCAGCACTTTAATTTAGCATCACCCCATAGCTGCTGTGCAGTTGTAATCCTGAAAAGTCTCCCAAGTCTCTTCTCTGCTGAAATTGGTAGTCTCTGGGTAAAACTGCTGCCTTACCTAGGCCTGATCAACCTTGTGTGTGTGAGTTACCTTTCAGTCTATGTGGGTGGTGGCCTCACCCATGCTGTCTGTGAGATGGTGGCACTCCCCTGCTCCCCGGTAGTGCCATGACATGCAATAGCTGTTGTTTGCCCATCTTCCTTCCTTGCACACCTGGGCAACTCGGGGATGACAGGAGGTTTTGACTTGGTCGAGTTCACAGGGGGCACTGAGAACAGGACCCAGATTTCCCGTCTCTCACTTTCAGGGCTCAGTGTGCTACTGTTCAGTAGCCACCTTATTTACCCTACCTCCTGCTTGGTTAGAAGCACGAGTAGATGACTTTCCTCTTGGGGGTGTTAATATGCTGCAGCCTCCTCACATATTTCCTTTTGCTGTTTCAGGCACATATACATGCTTGTCACTGAGTATTTAAGAAACACCATGAGGAGATTGGAGCAAAGATGTATCTAATCCTGTCTTCTGCACTGATGGTGCTTGGCAGTGGGGACTAAAGGAGGATGATAAAGCCCAAGATATTGAAGAAGTCCCCAGAAGTACCAAGAGCTGCTGAGCCTGACCTGCTAAGAGTGAGCTGAACTCAGCCATCGGCCACTCTCCCACACAGACCAGGCCAGAACTGGTGTCTGGTATGAGGAGATGTGCCATCACCCCCTGTAAGTCTGTCTGCTTTGATTTACTATTTTCCTCATGTTTTTTCATCTCGGTCAGTAGTAAGCGGTTAACTGACCAGGCTATCTAAACCAGGACGGAACAGTTGGGATAATCCCCGAGAGCATGCACAGGCTCTTTGGGCAGGCTTTGGAGCCCGTGTCCTGTACAGCAGGACTGCAGTGCTTGTGATGAACTGGGGGGCTGGGTATCCCCTTGGGAGGCAGGGTTCAGCTCCAGGGATTTGTCTCTAGGTTTACACAGACAACTTTCCTCCTACCAGTCACATGGGTGTGGATGTGTATCAGCAGATCAGTGTAGTTTTGAGCAGTGCATCCCAGGATAAATCAAAAGCTGCCTACTTTGTCAGTTCTTTTTGGGGAGGCTAGGGCTTGCATTAGGCTTTCCTAACAGAATTGCTGTGTTACTCATCCACATGCTAGAGGAGAAGAGGTTTAGTGAACTGCCATCACCATCAAATGCCCCTTGAGACTTCTCAGTCTCATTCTGACTCTGAGAAGTCAAGCAGTTAAGGGGTTTTTTTATTATTATTTTTTGTAAGGTATAAAAATAAAGCTCCTGAACAGCTAATTCCTCTGGATAAGCACTTATTATCCTACAGCACAGCACAGAGGTTATTCTACAAGAACTTGTGTGATGGCAGGGCATCAAGCAAGATCTAAGCACATATGCCTTAGCTTTACAGCCTCTCCTCGAACCTGCCTCCCTTCTCTCTTATCGCTTTCCAGATTCAGTTGCACTGCACCTTCTGCTCTGCCTTATCAATAAAGAGCTGTCATCACACATCGCTGTCAAAGCAAAAGAGCAAACTGTTGTCAGCAGATATGCATACAGCAGCCCACTTAGCTAAAATGACATTCCCAGTCAGTCCTTCAGAACTAATCCTTAGGGAAAATTGCAGGAATCAGTTATGCAACGCTTGATAGATAAATACAAATATATATGTAAACAATGAATTAATAAAGCACTTTAAAAATTAAATTCCTGTAGCCGTTTCAGCATCTCTGTTCTGTGGGAGAGTGAGGTGTAAGCCTTTTATTTTTTAATGAGAATTGATTATTTTTATTTAACAAACTATAGTTGATGATTAGATGCAGTGATTACACTGTCTGACATGGAATTTTCCTTTAAGTGGTTGCTCAAAATAACAGGAAGCTGTAAGAAACTTTAAGTTTGTACTGGTGAAACTGTCCAGTTCCCACAGAGCTTTCTCTGTGATCTGTGCAGCCAGATTTATTTATTTATTTATTTATTTTAATCCAGCTGATCGAGCTGGATTTTTCTTTTAACACTGTTTATAGGAAATGTGCAATTTGTCCCACTTTAAAAGATTCCAGTAGCTACCCTGCATATTTAATTCCTGACCACAGATCAACACAGTAGCCATCCAATTACACGTTTTCATCTTTCGCTATTTAGGAAAAATATTAAAAATATCAGCAACTGAAAATTCCCTCCTCAAAAATTTCTATTCCTGTCTTTGATTGACACATTCACCTTGAGCTAAATGTCTGACTGTAGCCAAATCAATCCATTCATCACGTGGCAGTGTACTGCCCCCAGTACTGTTCCCCATTCATCCAATCAGGGAAAATTAAGATGGTGTGTATATATATATATATAAAAAAATTTTAAGCAGTTAAAAATATGGATGTTATCTAAGGATTTAGTCTGCCATCATGGAGATCACTGAGACTTATACTACTGCTTGCTGTAACAGCAGGATCAATCCTACAGGCGTTATATAGACCAGTTTTTTCAGGGGAGTTTTCCCTTGAGCGTGGTCTGCAGGCATTAACTCCTACGAAGACTTTATTTGCAATAAAGATCTGTGGCTTATTATGTTCTGAAATGACAGAATTCACATACAACATGTATGTGCATGCACATGCATGTATGTGTGTAGTACCTGATGGATGCCTAATAGAATAATCTTTCTAATAGATATTGTAGTTTATACTGTATTTGCATTTTTTAAACATAAGAATATTGAAAACCTTCTCATCACGTGTCAGGAAATGATATTTGGTCCTTTATGCCAACAAGGCTTTCCTGTACATTCTATTGTTAATAACTAAAATAAAAGCATAGCACTATTTTACAAAAAGAAAGATTAAAGTGCATAAGTACATAGATAGGTGCAGACCCTGCTCTGAGCTCCTCTGAAGCAGACGTACCCTGTCCAAGATCAGGGATAGCTGGTTTCAACAGCAACAATTCTAGTGCAAAATACCACTTCCGCTGGCAACGCTTGGCCTTCCCGTTGGGTACGTGGCCTGATCCCATAGACCTCCATGTACAATGGTCCTCTTAACTTTGTCCATGGTTTACAATTATATGAGCCTGCAGAATCGGGCTCAAATTAATCCAAGGTACCTTTGGAAGCAAAAATTTTCTTTTCTGCCAACTAATAAATATATTCAAAACAAAATACATCCATTTTACATGCATCTATTTTCAGACCTATGCTAAAAATGGACCTTGAGAACTTTTCAACGAGGAAACCAAAGGATAGGGAATCCACATTGTAGGGCAAAGTGGTGTCAGCATAGTGCGATGAGCTGCTAAGCAGGTTCCTTGGATGCATCGCTTGCCATTCTAGTGTGCAAAACCGATTATCTAGATTTCTTCTTAATATATATATTTTTTATAGCTGTGTATATATAGGGAGATACAGTTTTCATGGGATGAAGATTTCATTCTTCAGAAATGACTATTTCACATTTCATCTAGTTCAGGGTTTTGTCAGCTTAGCTGCAGCTCATTTCAGTCCTTTGAACTTGAATTTATTTACAATATTTTGTGCTCTTGACTTTTCCTTTTTGAATATTGTCCAAGAGAATTCCCCTAGTGATCTACAGCCATGATCTTTTGGAAAATGTGTTCATTTTGAGATGAGTAATAAAAGAGTTGTTTGTTTCCTAATACAATTTAATCAGTTTGTGGATACTTTTGATTACGGCTCTAGATTAAAAGCTCTTAACAGAATGTCTAGATCACCCACATTGGCAGCTTGAAATAGTTCTGGCTGGTCCATCATAGACAGAGCAATTCGAAGCGCTGCCCAAATATTGCCTGATAGAGCAGGATGGGGGACGTGTTGTTGATTCCTGCTCTTTCTTTGCAAACTGAGAGCAGTGAGAAAATTGCTGACGGCCTCTCTGTAGGGGAGAAGAAAAAAGAAACATGCACTATAACTTGCATAACAACTACAGTAAAACTTTCTGAAGCTCTGTGCTATATTCAAGTATACTATTTTACAATAGAGGAAATCAGTCTCTTTATGTTATTCTTGCTTGATTGTCTTTAAATTAGTGGATGTGGCTCGTAGTAATGCAGAGTTCAGTCTATTAATACATCTGGGGATATTGTCTTCGTTGCTGTGTAGTTCTCATTCATCTTAACTGACTTAAGCTGATAGTTGGGACCCTGGAACATCACCCTTGATTCTTGAAGGATGTACTGAAAGTGTTTTTGACAACATAAGCTACTTGAAGCAGCTTAAGTTTCGCTTCTAAAGACAGAGTCTTATATTTTCTTTTAGAAAAGCTCTTAAACACAGGACTAAATTTAAGTGTGAGAACAATGCCACTGAGTATAAGAGTACCTGCACTTAGAGCTAAAAAAATGCTTAAGCAGCTTGCTGAATGAGGGATTTGTTTTCTTTTGATAGAAATTGAGTTGTTCTGTAGAATTTGTGGATATGAGAAAAGCATCGTTTTGTTAGTACTTTGGAAAAAATAACTACAAAGTTTTACAATAGCTGAGATTATGTAGCTATATTCTGATTATTTTTTTTTCTTAGATAGCTTGAGCTAGAAAATGAATTTTAACTTGGTAGTTATGATCCCTGTCTTTTGTTTACACATTTTTGCAGCTTACCTGTATGCCCCTAGGTTTATGCAACTTATTCCTAAATTGTATCTGGACCTAATGAAGCCAGGTTGTATTTCTAAAGCACGTGTGTAGGCCTCGACAGCTTCTTCACTTCGATCCCCATTTGCCAAGGTTGCTCCGAGACGGTTCCATAATGTATAGTCCTGGTGAGAAAATGAGTTTTCTACTGTAGGTGTCAAAAAGGGACATAATAGCTCATTTTTGCTTGCCAAGTAAGGAGGACTGCAGAAAATAACTGTATCATATCTTCTCTTTAATTGACATGGAATGTGAGGTTCTGACTCATGATTATAGGCAACCTTATATAACTAGGACAATTAATCAGCACAGAGATAGGAATTGGACATGTATAAATCTGCTTCTAAATGGGACTGCCTTGTAATTAAGATTTCTATTTCAAGTATTAAAATTTTAATGGCTGAAGTGACATCTCATCAATATTCGTCTGATCAAGAGGGGAGAGAGAAAATGGCCTGTAAAGCTAAATTCTTAAAAATGTAAAAGCATAAAATGTACCTCTGGCCGAACAGTTAAAGCAGCACTAAATGCATCTATTGCTCTGTTAAATTCTCCGTTCAGGTGGAAAAGAACTCCAAGTCCCGTCTGCAAGTCAGGGTCTATCATATCACCATTCTGGTGAGCAGCCTCCAGGTACAAATCCTTTACTTCTTCAAGTAATGCACTAGGTAGAGTGAAAAATAACTTAACTGTAAGTTCCATCTTACAGTTCTTTACAAGTATTGCGATATTGATTGCATAGACAGAAATTAAAATCCTTGTAGTGAACGTATCAGAATATACTCCTAAAATTTAAAAATAAGCTTCTTCAACATGGCAAAGATTTACTGCCAGGAGCTGTTGTAAACTCACATCTGGAATAAAAAAAGTTCACCCATATAATGAAGTTCACCTACATAATGAAGACAACACGTCGTATGATGACAGGCTGAGGGAACTGGGGTTATTTATTCTGGAGAAAAAGAGACTGAGGGGAAACCTTATTGCTTTCTACAACTATCTGAAAGGAGGTTATAGCTAGGTGAGTGTCCATCTCTTTTCCCAAGGAACAAGTGATAGGACAAGAGGAAATGGCCTCAAGTTGTGCCAGGGGATGTTTACATTAGATATGAGGAAAAATGTCTTCATCAAAAGGGTTGTCAAGCATTGGAACAGGCTGTCCAGGGAAGTGGTGGAGTCACCATCCCTGGAGGTGTTTAAAAATGTGTAGATGAGGTGCTTAGGGACATGGCTTAGTGGTGGATTTGGCAGAGTTCGGTTGGAATCAATGATCTTAAAGGTCTTTTCCAACATAAATAATTCTGTGCATCAAAGTGCAGCTATGAACCCAAGTGAGATAACATGCTTATTAAAACTATTAAAATTGGATGAGTGTTTAAAAATGTGTAGATGAGATGCTTAGGGACATGGTTTAGTGGTGGATTTGGCAGAGTTAGGTTGGACTCAATGATCTTAAAGGTCTTTTCCAACATAAATAATTCTGTGATTCTGTGCATCAAAGCGCAGCTATGAACCCAAGTGAGATAACATGCTTATTAAAACTATTAAAATTGGATGAGTTTCTCAGACATAAAAGAGTAAATAGCAGTCATTCTTAAGAGGAATAGATCAAGTGACTAGCCAGGACCCCTGAAGAAAGGTGCCAAAATTTAAGACTTCTATACCCACTGTAAGCTTCATAAAACCTTGGCACTGATAACACCAGATGTCAGTGGGATGAGGCCAAAGTAGAATAACACATTTAGCAATTAAGCAGAACTTGCATATTTTATTTTTGCTTCTACTGAATTATCTTATCAACCCAGGGTTTGTTAGTGATAAGGGTGAAACAAAAGGCCTGTCTTCAAAATGACAAGCAGTGAGATAGCCCTAGCATTTTAGTTCTATAAATCATGTTTATGCCCTTAATGACTTTATCATGCATCTCACAATTCAGAAATACTTATTTATCAACCTCATGAAATCATGATGGAGGGCTGCCAACTCATGAATTTTTTTGTTATTTAAAATGACTGCCAGCTCCCATTACAGTGTGCAAGGCTGAAGTCAGATAAGATGACTACACTCTCTCTTTGGTTAGAATCAGAATGGCTTTTAAACAAACAGATGCTGCCCCCCAGTATTTTCAGTGAATGGAAGCCATGTCCCACTGCAAAATGGCCATCATTCCTGGATTCTAGTGGCTTGTCTGGGATCTAGGAAACAAGATGAATGGTAGGAAGAACACACACATGTAGAGCAGGATGCAGGCCTGGTATGGATTTGGAAGCAGCTGAAGAATGAGGATGTGGGAATAGTCAGCAGACAAGACAGAGGGAAGTGATGGGAGTTGAGGGGAAGCATCTCTTTTTAGCTGTAATTTTTTTCTTTTTCTTTTTTTCTTTCAACTTCCAGGGATGGCGTAAGATACAGTCTTCAGTCACTAAACCAAATGTCCTGTGTTGGCTTCCCACTGCTGCCACTAGAGACACTGAGTCTTTCATCATCATAGTGAACAGGCTGGAGTTCTCCAGAGTCAGGGGCACAGCATGCACCATCGTTTCTAGTCATATCATTAAAATTTCCACCATCAGGATTTACACTGCATTTACCTTTCATCTGATGTCTTGGACATTCTCCTGGTAAGTGCTGGGGACCCTTTTTTGCTTTTTGCTATATACTTGTACTTTGGATTCTGCTTTATCCAGTTTCTTAGAGCTTGATAGGCTTCTTGTTGATGCCCAGTGTTAGTATAACTTACAGCCAGGGCCATCAGAGCTTTTAAGTTGTTTGGCTGTAGTTCCAAGCACCTAGGCAGAAAATAAAAATATAATGAGGTATTCTTTTAGCCAAAAACTATTATTGAATTCTTCCAAAGTAAACTGTGGTAAAAAAAAATAAAAATAATTTTAAAAAGTCACTCACAGAAGTAAGATCTACCCAATCATACTTTTAAAGAAGGGACTTTTAAAAGTTATTTTTCTGTGATAAGTGCACATTGCTGTGCAAACACACATATGTACATAAATGTATGCATACAAGTTTTGTTTTCATCCTTCTGCTTATGAGTAAAGGTAGGTAGATTCATTTTTATAGTATCTTATCTAGTAAACAAAGAGAAGATCTATGTAAATTCAAGTGAACAGTTTAATATGGTTTGCAGCTATACAAAAAAATATTTTGAAAACAAAATTTCTTCCATCCCTAAGAATCTTGGCAGCCATCCTGAATTCTCAGTTTTTCTTTGATAAGCTGGGGCCAATGGATTGAAGTAGTCTTTCTATGGTGATGTGCCATTAACAGAAAACAGAATCTGGTCTATTTTGTGAACATCACTGTTGCCTGTTTCAAAAGCAGGGGGGATGAGCAAGCCCTAAATCAGGCAACCCCCTGGATTTCTATCCAAGTAAGCTAGTAAATTGCATATAAATAAGTGAGAGTATCCTTAGGTGAAATGACTTGATGGTTAACATTGCTAATGCAATTAATATGGAGAGGATACTTGCTGCAAATGGAAACATGAAAACCCACTACAGAAAGATAATACTAATGCTGCTATTTTAGCACTGACATTTTACATACAAGCATACCGTGATCTTCACATCTCTATCAACCTAAAAATGTTGTCAGTTTAGTATTCAGCAGCTGAAGGGAGCTTGTTCCAATTAAGAAAACCTCTTAATTAAAGGACAAACTACAGAAAATACGCTAAGTGGCTGGAATATCAAAAAGGCACTTTATTTGCATTATGCCTAATTCATGTTTATCAGGCCATGTAACTTTTGTGCCACTACTTACATTTCTAGAATAAATATTGCAGTTATTAATCACTAGTCATCCCTCTGAAGTCACTGGGAAGATTCCTATATCTGTGTCAATGCTTTACTTAGCTAAATAAATGCTTCATGTTACAAGGTAACTATCACATTAAATATACCCAGGCCACCATGACCTAATCCTCATCAGACCCCTTATTTAACAATTATCTTCATCTACCTTTGGAGGGCGACAATGGCTGCCTGCTCATTTTCATTCTCTGCCTGTGTTATGCCCAGGAACTGCCAGGCCTGCAAAAATAATCATCGTTCTGTTATTTTGTTATATATACCCAACTGCAAGCAGAGTTACAACTAATATCATCACTGGTAAGCAGCAGGGTGAATAAACAGCAGATCTGTCCAGTGCTAAATACAGATTTTTCTGGGGCGTGCATGCCAACAGTACAAATAAATGTGGTTTTGAATATCTTTGGACCTGATAATATTTATAATCAATGAATGCAAAGGAATTCTGTCAGTGTATGATCACACGCTGATTGCTTAAATTTGAGTTACTTTACATTTTAAATGTTTCTAGAATTTTATGGAAAATGGTGAAAAACAATTATGAAGTTGTATAGGTTTAAGGGATTCTAGAGACCCTGGGAATTCTCTCTGCTTTTCGAAATACTGCTGCTTAATTTAACATACCAGTAGCTTCGAAGAGACTTAGATACTTAAACAGTAAATATTTTTCATGTTTCACAGAAAACATTCTTTAAATATATACTAATAGAAAACATCAATATTGCAGAAACTGATATAACTTTAAAAAATTTGTCAAAATTCTTTTTAAATCAAAAATGTTCACCTTTTCAATAGCCATGTTTAAAAGAGTTTGAAAACATCAGTAAAAGAAGGAAAGGTTTGAAATACTATCTATTTTGAATGATTTTAAATGACAGCTTGGAAATGCTATAATTTCAAAAGTAGATTCTCATCTTATGAAGAGCTCTACCTTTATCTATTTCAAGGCATACACTATTAAAAAAAACTTTGTTAGTGTTCAGTAATCTGTTTCAGTCAGTCATGGCTAGCAAGGGTTTGGAACCCAAAATCATTCCATCATGCTAAAGGGAGTCCTCTTTTCCTTTATCAATAAAAAGCACGTGAGTGAATACCTCTGCGTCATTGGGTTCTTGCAGAATAGCAGCCTCCAGGTATAGGATTGTAACTGGCAGGTCACCTTCTTTCATTTTTTTCAGTCCTTCTTCAAAAGCACCAGGCCAGTCTTTGAAGGGATTCTCAGTATGGAAATAATAACCCTGGATAGGTTAGGAAGATAGATAATGGACCCGTGATGAAGCACTGTAGCATGGAATGGCAACTCTATAAAATTAAATGACTCACTATTTTCCAACAGGATGTAAATAAACATCCTTTGTTCTATGAAAACGGTGCAAGCTCAGTGTTGTAGCAGTGTTTTGAGCACTTGAGTTTATTTTAGAATTTCTTTAAATTTTGCATTTTTATCTTCCTGCCACTGCAGTGTGAAGGGTGTATGCTAATATCAGCCACATAATATAAACCAAATTAAAACATACAATGGAAGGGATGAAGAAGAGAGACAGAATCTCTGTAATTTCTATCCTCAACAGTGTTTGAATGTGCCTGCCCAGATTTTTTTATTTGGTGGTGCTCTTACTTAAGTGCCTATAATCCAGCAGTTTGCTTCATAATCCTTTCAGCTGAATACAGGCTGCGTGCCAGTCTAAATGTATTCTCACCATGGTAAGGTCTTTTAAATCTACCCTACTCACAGATGCTTAAAGAGGATGAGCTCTTTTGGGTAAAATTAGCTTCCATATCTAAAGAGTTTTCTTGATTTCCCTTGAATAGCTGAGGTTCATCTCAAAGTTTCACAGGAATGATGTACTGTATTAAAAAAATGTTGTGTTACCTTCTCAATAGTTGAGATGGTGACTTGCCCTGGTGCTTCCTGGTTCTCAGAAATCCAGTTTCTGCGAGCCATTTCTTCCCATTCTGCTTGCATTTTATCCCAAAACTCTGTGTCTGACTAAAAGAAAAAGAGGAAAAAAGGGAAGAAAATTAACAACAAAACTTTAAAATAAAACAGTAAGCTTTTAATTTCTTTCTGCCATGGTCTGAGTCTGGCAATTTGGCTGAGCGGTATTAATTCTATTAATAATCATACTGACTGAAATACTACAGCACAAATTTCTAATTCCATATAATTAAATTTCATCTCTTACATTGGAATGCGGTTTGTCAACAGAAAACTCTTTATCTCAGAGGCAGTGTCTGTTCTATTTGAAGCAGGATTTGCAGCAGCTTACACTGCATCTTATTGTTAGCAGCAAATTGTTACATAAAATTTGAAGGAAATGGATGCTTCTAGTCCCTGGCTGGCCAAAAAAAAAAAAAAAAAGAAAAAAAAAAAAAAAAAGTTGAGAAAGCTGCTGAGTGTCAGTGTTCCTCTGAAAATGGTAAAAGTAATTGTAAAAGCTGAGCCGTGTGGCATTTAATTATGTAAGGAACCAAAGGGGCTAAAAAAATAATAACCTGGTATATCAGAAAGTAATTTAAAATATAAGCTAGGGCAAATGGAATATTTCTGTCACAATAAGATGAATTCCAACACTGGCTGCATTGATTTCATGTCTCCGATTTTGTTCCAGACGGATCTGTAACTATGGAGGGGAAGGGGAAAAAAAAAAAAAAAGAGAAAGAAAAAAAAGAAAAAAACATCTGAAAATACATGCTAAAGAATAATAGTAGATAAAACAATTTGAATGAGAACAAGCATCCCTCTCTGGAAGATCCAGCATCACTTTAATTATGTAAAAGAGTAATGGCAAAGCTTAGAGCATGTTTGCACAAGAGAATTAATACAAAGGGGGCTTTTTAACATAGTGGAGAAATCCTAATATTGCATCATATACTGTGCTGGTGAAAGGAATCTAGAAGAGATTATAAAATTGTGCAGTAAAATTAACATTCAGCTGAAAGACAGGAGGGAAAAATGTATATACAAGAAAAACAGAAATTATGAAAAAGAATGAGATTTAGGATGTGTAACAACCAGAATGAGGAAACCACCGTGGCTTCCAGAAAATGATGCCAAGAAACAAATATAGGATTAAAAACAAAAAAAAAAAAGGGGGGGGGGAGAATCCAAGTTGAGGTGCTATTTTTTTCAGCCTCCACACATTAGTCATAAGCCTTGAAAAGCAGTTCCATAGTAGAATATATGCTCAGCACTACAAACCTTTGCGAAGTTCTCCAGTTCCTGTAAGGTCATGGCCAGAACTTCAGTGAACAGACACTACCGAGGGCACAATTTCTCAGCTTATTTATGTCCAAGACAACAGCACAGATAATTCTGTTGAGGTTTAGACAAAACTATATGAGAGTGAGGTGCTAACCAAAATTAATTGAAGGTATTCTAAACTGGTCCAGATAGCTTTGTCTGAACCTTCATTACAAGACTGACTGCTGTGCTACTGCTCCACAACCAGACATGATTTGCAAAAATAGAGCTTAGCCTGTGATTGCATGACTTGCTACAACCCTGCTTCTTAAGCACTTGGAAAAAGGAAAGCACAAACTATTAACATATCTAGAATGAGGCAGCAATGAGAACTTTTGAGACTAGGTGTGAAGGATGTGGAGGACTTGCACTGGCTGATAGCAGGTGTGGTTGCTGTAAATCATAAGGCTCTTTACAAATGGCAAGGTGCATTCCCTCTCTGGAAACCGAACAGGCATTTATTTCCGTTTGGCTCTTACTGTAGCCTGTGTCTTCCGATATCCAGCACGTTCTTCCAGGAGACTCAGAATTGTCTGACTTACGCAATTATCGGATGTGTGAAGGTACCTGCTATGTTCCTCTGTGGACTAGGAAATGTGAATCATTCACTCATAGAGAGGAGATTTCACTCTTTGTAATAGAAGCAAACAGAACATGACAACTCTGTTACAACAACTTCTGAGGTTCCATTCAAAATTTGCTGGAAATACAGACTTTTCAATAGTTGTGAGGTTGTGCTGAAATGCCCATTTGGAGTTTGAAAAGACTGGGATAATGAATCGGATCGCTCCCTCTTTTACTCTTAGCCATGACCAGAGGCACTTAAATCCCTTAAACTATCCTGCTCATCAGATGTCTCTATCTACTATTTTGCATTCAGTGCAAATCTGCACTGCATTGAAGAAAAAATGGCTTGGCCATGTTTTTCCTAGCGGTAATTTTGAGATTCAGGATGAGGTAAAGGAGTAGAAATTTCCCTTTCTTACAGATTAATATTAATAAAACTACCGAAAAGTAATTAGTAATGCCTTTTTAAACAGATCAATTTATAGAACTAATTTTATATAGAGAGAGATATACATGATGTTTATAGTAGAAATTCCTAATTTTCTAATTAGAAAATTAGAATTTTTGGCTTGTATTTTCCCCACAACGATCCCTTATGAATTGTTGTTTTGGAAACATACCAAATCACGTTTCTGCAGATCGTAAGCAGGCATATAAGTGGTTTTAGGTCTTAAGTTCAAATTCTACTGCTTAATTACGTATTTATAATTCACAGAGAAGTTCACTGTGTGCATACTCCACTTAAAATGCTAATTAATTACTATGCATTCAAGTAGTCATGCTTAATATCTACCTATAGTGAGTCAAAGGTGGAGGAAAAATGTCATGGGGAGAAGACCTGCTTTGCTATAGTCTCTCATCAGATGCTGCTTGGACACGGGCCAGGACCCAACTGTTATTTTGCAACTATAAACAAAGATTTGCTTGTTTGGGCCAAATGGGCTTAAGTCCCAGCTAGAGCTTTCCAAGTACATCCAGCATGTGGGGTTCCTGAAACCGGTATGGCAGAGCTGCACTGTGCAACTTCGTGGCACCTGATAAAATGCTGTAATATTGCCATGACAATTAGCAATGTCAATAGCAGAGCAGTTTGATGTCCTTGAGGAAGAAGACCATAAATATTACACAGTCTTTGTCAAAGGCCTAAGTCTATTTCAGTTGTCATTAGTAGCAATTTTTTCATTGACTTCAGTGGCAGGAGGTTAAATTAGTATTGAGTGTTTCTGAAAATCTGGCTTTGGATCAAGACTCCTAGATCTAATTTTAACTCTATTTGCTATGTGACTGGTGCCAATTACTTCATTTCAATGTTTTTGCTGCCTTAATACTGGCGAATTATTTTGGATGTACCAAAAGTTTTCAGACCAGTTGAACACATTTAAAACGTTCTCAGATCATCTGCAGCAATTAAGTGGAATGACAACGAGGAAAAATGTTCTACCATCTGACTACTTCCAAGCAGAATATTCCGCATTTTGTCAAAGAGGCTATTTTCACTCTTAGTATTTAAAAATATGCCGAAGCAGTTAAACAAATGGGAGGCAAAATATTTCCAGGCTCTTTACTTCCTATCGTATAGTGAAGGAGGGAGAGGGAAGGGTACTTTCTGAATATTGATGGCTAATTTCTAAACTTACCTATTTTCATAACTTTAATAAAAGAATTTTGCCTGTCTTGTCCTGCCAAAAATTAATTTCCAATGTTCCTTCTTGACCAGTGCATAAGAAACCAAGGTCCTGTGGTTCTTCTTTCTTTGAATTACTGCATCAACATACTCTTCAATGTGAAAAACGCAGTAAATTAAACTTATGTGCTAACTATATAAGATTTCCTTAGCTGATATCTTCTCAAAACAAAATGTGAGGTATGCCTTTTTACTAAAGGTTAGAGGTAAAAAATATATATCAAGGCAAAGATTCCCATTGTGATTTGAGCGAGTACCAAATAAAATGCATCTGAATGACTCCAGCTCCTAGATCCCAATTTAAAATGTGGTTTAGGCAGTCTTAGGCACATCCAAAAAGGATGTTGAAACAGTGAGCCAGGAATATCATAGGTACAGAAAGGATTCTAACTGGTATTCACGGGCACCATGATGCTGATGAGTCTGGAGTATGTGTTCATAGGCTAGAATAAATTAATCCCATCTTCTTCCTACTATTGTCACATAATCTAGCTGTAATATGTTCTGATGCTTCATAACAGTATATTATACAGCAGATGGCTCATGTGACATGGTGTTGTAAATAAAATGATGCTGAGAAGGACAGCTCAAAATTTCTTTTGTGTAAGCTCACAAAACAGCGTAGCATCTGCAGTTTAATCTCTACATCAGGGAAATGTGGAATAAGAAAGTATCAAAATTGCTTTTTTTCCATCTCTGAGACATTTCTTAGTTGAAAGTTTTTGCATGTTCTTGGTTTCATTTTTCTTTATTCTAACTCATTACCAATAGGATGGTGGAGGGTAAAAGAATTGTTTTAACAGAATATAGGTACAGGATGGATCTGAATCCTCATCCTGGCATTTTTTAAGCATTCATAAGTACTAACTTTTGGTAAAACACAGCAAATTATTAGAAAGATTCTATTAATGATTGAAAATCATAAAGACTTTAGGCTATTTGTGCTTCCCTCACATGTATAACAAATCAAATCCAGTTTCCAGAATGACAGAAAGGGAAGCCAAGTTTGCAAGCCTCCAATCACTGCAAGTGAATCTGGAGCCTCTCTAGTAAAAAACTAATTTACTTCTTTATTCTTAAAGATTCCCCAATGACATAGAAAACTTTAAACCTTCTTAAGAAAGAATTCTCTCACATATCTTCATTAATCGCAAAGTCTGACATCTTAAAACCATTCCCAAAGCTCTAAAGTGAATACTGGGTGGAGGATAAAGTTTGGTGTCTTCATTTACTGGATTGTTAATTAATTTCTTTTGAACTAGGCCACAAAGAACCTGAGATTTGCTTCCTTTTCTTGATCAGTTTTCTGGCTAATCTTATCACTTGGAGCTTTCCCAGTTGAAGAATATTATAGAAGCATCCAAAGCCTAAAAGATGGATTTTTGAACTGTATCTATTCTCTGCTTCAGAAAGCACTAATCTTTTTGAGATGGGCTGCAATTTATTTCAATCACTCTAGCTTTCTTACCACTTCATTTTAGCTAGGATAAAAATTCAACTCTTTTCATATGCAAATAGAAATAACTGCTCTGTAAGGTCTTGCCGAATCCTTTCCTTTACATTTTAACTACCTGGTCCAAGTTTCTATTTTAAGCAGAAAGAATAACTTAAGACTGCCAGCTACACAGTTAGGGAAACATTTAATTAGATTCTTTTTAACAGCTGTTTTTGAGACTACTTTAAAGCATTTTAATAACCTGTCTTTGTTGCCTCAGAATGACCTTTTAATGTGCAGGGGTTTTTTACAATACATTCTCCTCCTTACTTTACTCTGTAAAGTAATTCAATAATGTCCTGTAATCTGTTGTTGGCCTCAACTCATTTTTCTTTCTGCTGAATGTCTCGGAACTCCCCATCTCACATGGTTTCTGGCAATTGCAAGAGTACTGACATCATTTGCTTAACCACTGATCGTAACACAGAGATGTTCTTTGTCAGATTCCCTGTCGCAATGACAGATTGCAGCACAACATGTCCCACCTTAGGGATCAGTCTGCAGTGCAATTAGGAACATCTAGAGCATTGTGAGCAGTGGCAATTTGAAAGCAAACCTCTCCTTTCCTGCCTGGAACAAATGTGTATGATATAGAATCATAGAATGGTTTGGATTGGAAGGGACCTTAAAGATCATCTAGTTCCAATCCCCCTGCCATCAGCAGGGACACCTTCCACTAGACCAGGTTGCTCAAAGCCTCATCCAGTCTGGCCTTAAACACTTCCAGGGAGGGGGCATCAACAACTTCCTTGGGCAACCTGTTCCAGTGTCTGACCACCCTCACAGTGAAGAACTTCTTCCTAATATCTAATCTAAACTTCCCCTCTTTCAGCTTAAACCCATTTCCCCTTGTCTTGTCATTAAGTGCCCTTATGAAAAGTCCTTCCCCAGCTTTCTTGTAGGCCCCCTTCAGGTATTGGAATATGTGACATCAAAAAAACCTATTGTGCATCACCAGCAGTTGTTTATAAAGAATCTATTTGAAAAAACAACGCACTCAGAAAATACAAGAAAAATGCATTCAGTGTATAGTTTATGGAACAGCCAACTTACTGATTGTGTCCATTTTAGCCTTGTGTGCTGAGACAAGAATTTTTTGTGTGCACTAAGATCCTAAAAAACCGTGGTAGAGACCATGTACTCTTACCTTAGCATGTCATGAAAAAACCCTACAAATCAATTTCTTAAAGAACAAATTCTGTTTCTAGCTGAAAGCCAGCATATGATTTAGGCCTAGTTTTGTTTGTCATCAACCAATATTCATCTGCCAACACTGGAAATACAGTGGTATGAAACTCGAGTTAGAGGATTATTAAATTACAGACACTAACATTTAAATCTAAACCCAAATATCCCTAAAGTGTTCTAAATGTTTGGAGACTAACGAGATTGCAGTTCGTGCTAAAAATAATCAGTTTTGAGGAATCGGTTTTACAGCCTCATCCTTTCCACCCTAAAAACTCATTTCAGTGTCTGTTACATAATTCAGCCTGAAATTTTGTCCTCAGTGGGATGCAGCTGTCTTGGCTCTTTGCGGCGATTGGATTTTGAAGGGTTACCAGCTGAACACCTGAGAAGATATGATGCTGAAGATCAATGCTTGTATCTAATTTTTGTATTGGATTCTGTTCAACAAGCTGTATGCCACCTTGTTTTTTAGACAGGATCAGGATTTCAATTGGGACTAGTGGTATAGGACAACACTCGAGGCATTTTTTATGTTGAAAAAGTAGTAGTTAGAGAAAAAACAGAAGTGTACTAGAACTATCCAAATACCTGCACCTTTTCTAACTAAATTGATTTACTAGAAAATGAGAACACTCCTGTGTTTAACATTCTGCCACTAATTATAAAAATGCATTGATGCATAGTTACTGCTATCGGTGCAGTTACCCATTACAGCAGGTAATCATTCTGTTTATCAATGATTCTGAGTTTTGGTTTCACAATGGAGAATTGGTTTGTGTCTGAGCTTAAATAACTGGTTGCACACATTGAGTTGCTGGGGAAAAATATGCTTCACTCTTATGCTCCAGTTTCAAAGTACTTATATTTATGGGGAATTTTTCTTGACCCACTTGCTAGAACAATACAAAGTCAAGGTTGAAAAGTTGTTTTTGTCTAATCTTCGTTTATAGATAAGGTTTATTTTTTTGCTTTTTTTTTTTTTGTTGTTGTTGTTTGTCTTATGCTCCAGTTTCAAAGTACTTATATTTATGGGGAATTTTTCTTGACCCACTTGCTAGAACAATACAAAGTCAAGGTTGAAAAGTTGTTTTTGTCTAATCTTCGTTTATAGATAAGGTTTATTTTTTTGCTTTTTTGTTTTGGTTTTTTTTGTTGTTGTTTGTGGGTTTTGTTTTTTTTTTTTTTTTTAGGAGAGAAACGGCTATTTTAAATGTGTAACTCCTGGAAATGCATCTTTTTTCTGCTTTAAATAGTCCAGTTCCTACTTTCTCCTGTACTTTTACTGCAAGATGAATGAGAAATCTATAGAACATTAGCTGAAAATGAAAATGGTAAATTAAGTAATACCTCAACAGCTGCCTTTGCTCTTTCAAATTCTTCCTCCAAGGAGTGATTTCTGGAGAGAAGAGGCCCTCCCCAACGCTGCTCCTTAGTTGATCGTGCCTAAAAAACAAAGGAATAAATCAGAAAGGGATGATCTACTCTGTGCCACATTTCTGAGTTATTTCCTTAGTTGCCTAGAGCCCCAAATGGCCTTTTTCTTGGGCAAAATTAGTTGCGTCCCTGCATGAATTCCTCTGAATTCTCTTATACTGTAGCAGAGATCATTCCTCATGGGAAACAGAGTAATTTATCTTTTCCAGACTTTTCATTCAAGATGCATGAAAGATAAAGAGACATCCAAGAAAAAACAATGCAAGAGTTGGGCCAGTATTGTGGCTGTGGCAACGCATTCCACTCGCTATGCTCCAGGAAGAAAGCATCTCATTTTCACTGTACATTTTGTGTGTTTTTCTTTCAGGTTCTGCTTTGGGATCACCTTGGAGAGCCAGGTTTGCTATGGATTTCACTGGAAGAACAAATCCTTTTTACAGTCAGCAGCTCTCTCTTCTGTGCCTTACTATCAGTTGATCCTATTGAAAGTGCATAACAAGTTTCTCCCTGTTCTTCATTAAAAACATTTTATTTATATTTTTTTGCACAAAAGGCACACTACAAAACCAAACAGTACTCAGTGATGACATAGAAAAGCACAAAGTGGCCTAATCTTGCTAAACAGAGCTCTAACTGCTAATCCCTTCCCTTGTGTTTGTCAGAGGTTAAACTCATTTGCCATTTTTCTGACGATGGTCCCAATTGCATTAATTTATGTGATTATATTTCTGATTACTGTACTTGTAATACTCAATTTCAATGAGCTACATTGCTAGAAGGCTAATTTTTCTCACTTCAGACTCATTGGGCTGTATCTGCAAGTGCTGGAATGTGCACTGCTGGGATGAAACACCTAAAACATTCCTGGGTGTTAGTATAAGCAATGTGCATTCTTCTTTGTTGGCTTCTGGACTTTGCTGCAGGTAAAAGGAAGCACAGAGCATGAGGGAAGGTCTACACTGAGGATCTGTTGTTTCTGCTTTCACATCTACTACCTGTGGTCCATGTTGTTTGGAATTATTTTTTTTTTTCATTGGTGGGGCCAGGAAGAGAGTTTAGGTTGTCACTGAAAACATACCAAAACCCCAGTCCTGTACACAAATCAGTTATTTTACTGATTAAGAGAATTAAGGGCAGAAGAGATAACTGGTGCAGATCATCTGTTTGTCTATATATCGCATGATGGTATTTGTCACTCAACATCTGCAGGATGAAACTGACATTCCACAGAGAATAAATTGAGATTGTCTGGAATATATGTCTTTGAGGAAGGTGCTTGGATTTAATTTAAAGTTATCAAGAGACCTTAATCTTATCACTTTGTTTGCAAATTTGTTTAAATGCCCTCCTTATTTCTCTTATTAATTTCAATTTCTATTTCCAACTCTCACTTCTTATTCTTTTTCCAGTAGTTTAAAGCACTTTTTAGTACCCCTTTTTTCTCTGTGGAAAGATACTGATGACTTTAATCAGGTTTTAATTGTCTTTTAAATGATATAAAAGAGATTGAGATCTTAAATTATCTCGTCACGAGGCATTTTATTCAGATTTCAAACTTTTTTGTCTCTTTTACTCTCCCTCTTTATTTTTTTTATAGATTTTTTTTTAATAGCCATACAGTCAACCAAAGTGAACCCTATATTCCAGTTCCTGTCCTGCTGTTTCTCTATACAGAAATCAGGTATCTCCTGTCTCCCACTAATTATGTCTACTTCTACACGCTTTTCTTGCCACAGTACTGCACAGGGAGCACTCATGTTCACATCCTTGTACACTCTGAGCCACAGATTCTTTTCAAATTGCCTTCAAGCATAGTGTTGGAAGTAAAGCCTGCATTCTAGTTCTGAAATTTATGATTTTTCAAGCAACTCTATTGGTATATGCATTTATACTGATGTCTTGGTCACCAGCTCATTTTTATGACTCTTTTATTTACCTTTTCTTTATTCTACAGTTGCATCATATGCAAATTTTATTAGGAATGACTTGCATATTTCTTTTCAGATCAATAATATTGAAGATCATGTTTCTCTTTGGTATCACAGAAGAACCCCATGTGATTACAATTCCTGGTAAATGACTACTGTACTTGAGAACTTAAGTTAGCCAGTTTAAATCTGTTCAACAGCTGCCTTATTCATTTTATATGATGCTAATTTTAAAATCAGAATATGGTATGTTAATTCAAACATCTTGCAGAATATCACACAGCAGTGTTCATCAACCCAACCTGTAATCTGATCGAAGAATTAAATTTTATTTTCTTGACACAAAACTCTGGTGATAGGTTGCCCAAGGAAGTTGTAGATGCCCCCTCCCTGGAAGTGTTTAAGGCCAGGCTGGATGAGGCTTTGAGCAACCTGATCTAGTGGAAGGTGTCCCTGCTGATGGCAGGGGGGTTGGAACTAAACGATCTTTAAGGTCCCTTCCAATCCTAACCATTCTGTGATAGACATTAATTACATTCCCAGCCTTTTCATTATTTATGAATTGGCTCTTCCAAACTGTTTGATTACTTCTCCTTTTTAATCTTTTGTTTCTGGTTACTGCAACTTCCTTAGGTCAAGGACAATACTGTAAATCACCATGTTCAGAATTAGTAGTATTGCAGAAGGGGAGAGTGAGCTTGTTGGGGCAGTGGAGAAGCAAGCAGAAAGAGGACAAGAAGCACAGAAGTCCCCTCCTCTGCCACATGTCAGAGTAGATGTGTTATCCCCACATAATTCCTACAGAAATATACCTTCTCCTCCATTTAATGCATACCTTCCCTCCACCAGAGGGAAAAAAATAATTAACAAAACCCGCATAGGCTGCATTTACATATAGACAATGCAGAGTCATATTCTGAGTTGTGATACCCAGAAATGAAAGACCCCACATATAATAAACATGCTGCCTTTCACTAGTGCAGGAAGAGAGGGGATGGGAATGGAGCGCCAGCACTGGAGAACTTCTCATCTCCAGCTGGTGATGGGTTGGGACTCTGCAGCTGCCTCCCTTAAGGGCAGCGCAAGGAGGAATATGGGTCAGAGTGGAATGGGTATGTCTGAGGCATGGACGCTCTGCATACGCTGTGGTTTGATATGCTCACCACTCTATAGTGGAGGTGCTGTAGCTGATCACTGGCTGCTGTCTTCAGGGACAAAATCTTCCATTCCAATGCATTTGCACCCACTTTGCTGTGCTTGTAGTCTGCTTATGTGCTGTTGGACCTTAACTGTTGGTGGGAGGCTTAAATTATAGTCTTAACTTTTGAGCAGGTCTTCAAATAATGAGCTAAAACTGTCCCTTGTAACTCTTTATTTCATTACAGTAACTGGCACATCCAAGGAGAACTAGGGCCTTTTGTCTTACTGCAGAGTAAGACTCTGGAGAAGTGGGGAATAAATTTTTGCATTCTAAATATTGTAGCCCCAAACTGGAGATTTCTAAGGCTTTGTGCTATGACTTTGTTTAATAGTGCTGACATATTAGAATTAGGTACAGTTTTTTGGCATGTCGGGGTTTTTGTGTATGCACTCTGAGTGAGCAATAAAAGATATAAAATGCTCAGGAAAGCATTTAGAGGGTTAAAACTTGAGCAGACTTTATGCATATGCGAGTGAACATATTATCTGCCTCTGCAGTTTATAAGAGGAAAAAATAAACCTTCAAAAAAACTTAAACACTGTAGGATATCTCAGTACTAACAAAAGAAAGAACAAAAATACTTCAGGCCAGTGCAGTTTAAGAGTTAATAACAGGTAATGTATGAAGTGAGTAGAATACTGAGAAGCAAGATGGACACTTCCAATGACAGCCACCGTGCTATTCCAGCCTTCAAACACATTTCTTCCTTATTAACTCAAAGCTTTGTGATTTTGTATTGGCATAAGTGCTGGTAAACACAGGATTTTATTAAGAAGATTGCACAATTTTAATGAAAATATGACCTAGTAACTTAGTATTTCATTCTTAGGAACTAAATCTAACATGTCAAAGATGAGTGATGAAGGTGATTGTCTGAGAAATTACTGATGGAAAACTGCAGCAAGTTTGACAAGATGAACTCTTTAGATGAACTCGCAGAATCTGTTGCATATGCAGAGGTTACCCTTAAATGAGATGGACAAGATCCATAGAGGACAAAGCACAGAAAACATATGCTTTGATAAAAGCTGTAACGTGATTTCTTTTACAAGCAGATTAAGAACTCAGCCAAGACAGATGAGCCTGTTTGTTGGGAACTGACAACTTTGACAGTCCAAGTCTAAGCAGGATGAAGCAGGCGGTGAATGAAAATACTAAATTTCTAAGTAAACTACCTAGAAAAAGAATGAAATCTCACTTCAGGTCATTTCTCTGCACTACTAATTACCAGTTAAACAACATTTCAAGACTTGAGTGGATCACAAGTTTAAAAAAAAAACGGCTTATGATAAAACAAAACAAACCATGAAATACACCAGAATGACAGATAAGAATTTTATACTCTGCTTCTTTTTCAAGTTGGCTGATTCAACTTCACATTTTTTTATTTTGAAATACTAGTCATTTTACAAGATATTATGGAGCCTCAACTGACTGAACTTATACTGAATTAAAAATGTGGATTTTTGCTTCTGCAGTTATTCTAGTGGAAGATAAACAGGAAATAGACCAATTAAAGTAGAGATGTTATATACTAAATTTGTAACTGATTTTACAGAAAGCCACAGCACTTAAATTCTGTGACTGTCCACTTGATTTAGACACATCTCAGTTGAGCACAAACTTCCTGGCTTTTAGATCTATTAGGCTGAGGAACAGTCTCCTGAAAAGAGGTTAGAGGTACTTAAAGATAAGCTGGACAAGGCATATGAAAGCACACTGTCCATCTCAAGTGGATGATATTCTGCAATAGATCTTTTCCATTACGAAGATGTGTACATCTATTGCACAGAAAGGAAAGATCTCGTGCGTTACAACTAGTGGTAGACTTTACAAAGGCAAACAAAAAATCCCGTTTGTAATGTAGCGATGGCAGGAAAGTAAAGGAGATGTTTTTCCTAACCAAAACACAGGAATGGATCCTGAAAACTGGGCTTTATTTCTATTTTCTGCAAAAACTGGTGCATAAACTCGGAAAAGACATTTGGCACTTTACTGTCTCAGTTTTCCATTTTCAAATGAGGCTATTATTTTCCATTCATTTCCAGATTTTCCATCTGACAGAAAGGTTTTGAAGTCCAGAACTAAAAATAGCTGTGGAAGAGGAGAAAATTATTTTCAACTAAAAATTAATCCACCAAACAGCTCTCTCTTTCCCCTGCCAGTGACATTGGCTGAACTTGAAATCTTTCTGTTAAAAAATAAGAAGCAGGGAAAAAAAGTGTATGAGCAAGCTGATCTATGTGAATGCATGTATAAATGTATGTTTGTAAATACAGATGTGTACATACATACATACCTAAAGCTATAGAGCTCTAAATAATAGTTTCCACAAGATCCTATCTAATATACAATAAGATAGTGGAATTGGGCAAAAGTATAAACTTTCAGTCCAGAGCCCTCTGTATTAGAGCTCCTTTTCCAGCAGGAAAAAGTCCCTTGACCACACTGCTTTCCCACCTGTGGAGATAAACTGCTAATGAATGTTGATCTAATGATTCTTGCCTGTATTCCTTAGCCATTTCCCAGTTCTGAGGATTCCTGGTTGACAACGAGTCATTGAGAAAACATTTATTACAGGAAGAGGGAACCATTAGAAGTTGGAATTTCAGAACTGGAGGAAGGGAAAAAGATGATACTGTAAATTATGGTTTGAAGTCTTTGTACAGGAAGGTCACAGTTCACTGCAGTATTAAATTCTAAATATTTGAGATGCTGACATGGTCACGTTATTTTCATAGTGTATTAATTAGGAAGCTTTGTGAAGATTTGGTTGTATGAATCTTTTAACTGATGATCCTGAAAATAACCCTTAAATAGTTCTTCCAGGATGTGAATGGTTAGCCAGTGGGACAAGTCCTACTTGCTTTTTTATTGTTAAGAAATCTACCAAATCCTCTTACCTGTGTTGCAGGTGCAAGTTCTAATTCTGATGTTGAATCAGAGTCCAAGGCACTCTTGATGTTGGCCAGCTCGGATTGTGATCTGTTTTCTGTGGACCTAGAAATAATGCATTTACATATTCATCACTGCACACTGAGATATGCTGCCTTATGTCTTTCACATTTATAAGCACATACTGATTAATTAGCTTATTTATTTCAAGTGGATTATTTAACTTGCAATTTTGAAAAGTGCCTGGACCCTTCTCAGTATTCTCAGTGTTCACTCTTACGCTTTACAGTTGCCTGTGCACAGTAGTTAATACAACAGAACAGAGCAAGGCCCGATTGATGAGTAGAACCCTGGGTATGTATCGGCGTGAAACTGGTAACATAGAACAAAGACCTTACTTCTATTTCATAGCCAGGCAAAATGAAGTTAGGCAATTACACAAGACTGTACCTGCAATCAATGTCTAAGAATCAACCACCACATTACAAGACTTCACCTTGGCATTTGTGCCTTTTTGTGCCACAATATCCTAATATTCTTTCTTCCTAGAAAATGAAACCCCGGAGACCAAAAGCAAGTTAACTGAGCGAAACTTGTGTAAAACTCTAAGTTAATGAAACACTTACTTAAAGGGCAGGTTAAGATACAAGGTGAGCGTCATTCGGTCAGAAAACTGCTTTTAGTGCATGGAAGTGCTAACTATGGTCATGCGTACAAGAAAGCTGGGGAAGGACTTTTCATAAGGGCAGTTAATGACAGAACAAGGGGAAATGGGTTTAAACTGAAAGAGGGCAGGTTTAGATTAGATATTAGGAAGAAGGTCTTCACTGTGAGGGTGGTCAGACACTGGAACAGGTTGCCCAAGGAAGTTGTGGATGCTCCCTCCCTGGAAGGGTTTAAGACCAGACTGGATGAGGTTTTGAGCAACCTGGTCTAGTGGAAGGTGTCCCTGCTGATGGCAGGAGGGTTGGAACTAGATGATCTTTAAGGTCCCTTCCAATCCAAACCATTCTATGATTCTATAATATAGTGAATGATTGTTTCTTACATATCAGGAAGGAAGCAGAATTAATCTACATGAGAATTGTTCCCAAAGGTAAAGTCCAATTCTTCCCTTATTTACAACCCTTACAATTTTAGTTGAACTGTGAGAAAGAGGTAGGACTTGGCTGGGATATTTTATCTTGCCTCTTCTGGTTAAACAAAAAAATTCTAGCCTCTTGGTATCAAAACCAAAATACACTGGATACCTAGTGACTGTCAAATCTCTGACAAGTACCCTCTTTTACTCATTTTACTCACATGTTTCTAGTTGGTTTTGGATCACTGCATGCCTCTGTTGAGTTATCATTACCATTTATTTAGTAACTGCACCTGCTACTTCTCACATTAGAAATTTTTTTGCTGGCAAAATGTCAATTTATAGGAACTTGCTTGTGATGCATTGTCCAAAATGTCTACTTGAACACATTTAATGTAATCATAACAGATTTAATAATACGACTTGTCATCAAGCGAGCATTTCTGTGGATTAAGAGAGCTGGACTGGAAATATTTTTGTAAGGAAAGCAAAAAGTTGTACCATAAAAGCTCTTTTGATGGAGCTCTAGATGATGATGATGTTCGCTCTGTAGAAGGGTGGACCTTGCTACTCCTGTCTCCATGAAAACTGACGTCATCCCATTTCTCTATCTGTGTCTGAATATCAACTGAAAAATAAGAAAAGAAAATATGAATCTTGTAAGGAAATTTCTGCAGAAATTCTCTGTTAAATGTAGATTGCAGAGAAAATAGTGCCACCAAAACCTATATTTTAGTTAAGGTCAAATATACAGAAATGTTGTGCACCTTTCTAGCTGGTATCATGTGAAAATATTTGGAAAATAATAACATTTTTCTAAATCTATTAGCATTCACATCAGAATGTCAGTGGACCTCTTGACTTAAAATCAATTATTTGTATGTAATTGAGACCTGTTTATAAAATTATATTAAGTACTTGATAGTTTTGGATATTTTTAATTTCCTGATTGTAGTCAAATAGTAAAAATAAAACTTTTAGTGACTACCATTTAAAAATGACTGTGTAGACAACTGGTATTATTCAGTCATGTGTTGGACTTGCTTTGCAAAATCAAATATTCAGCTCCTGTTTGAAGACAGAGTTCCCTAAAAGAATTTCTGTGCTGATGAATGGAAAATTTACTACCTTGGTATAAATTACATTACCTTGCAAATTTCTCAGTTGCAGTGCAAGTAATTTAGTTTGGATGGAACTAAATTAAATTCACCTTTTCCAAAGCTGATCTACATATCGTGCTTGGCAGGAAATTGTTGTATTTGAGATTTTTTTTTTTTGTCAATCTTTACAAATTCCCACTCTGTGGAAAAGGACCTGGGTGTGCTGGTGGGCAGCAGGCTGGCCATGGCCTCGGGGCCAGGAAGGCCAATGGCATCCTGGGGTGCATTAAAAAGAGCGCGGCCAGCAGGTTGAGGGAGCTTCTCCTCTCCCTCTACTCTGCCCTGGTGATATTGTGTCGAGTTCTGGGCTCCCTCATTCAAGAGGGACAGGTATCTTCTAGAGAGAGTTCAGCAGAGACCACAAAGATAATGAGGGGCCTGGAGCATCTGCCTTACGAGGAGAGGCTGAGAGAGCTGGGACTGTTCAGTGTGGAGAAAAGACTGAGGGGGGATCTTATCAATGTCTATAAATATCTGAAATGAGGGGGCCAAATGGATGGGTTGGGCTCTTTTCAGTAGTACCCTGTGACAGGACAAGGGGCAGCGGGCAAAAACTGGAGCACCAGAAGTTCTATACAAACCTAAGGAAAAAGTTCTTTCCTGTGAGGATGACGGAGCCCTGGGACAGGCTGCCCAGGGAGGGTGTGGAGTCTCCATCTCTGGAGATGGTCAAAATGTGCCTGGATGCTTTCCTGTGCAACCTGGTGT